TTGAAGGCCGTTGCTTCTATAGGTTGGAGGCCATCGCTTCTAGGTTGAAGGCCGTTGCTTCTGTAGGTTGGAGGCCATCGCTTCTAGGTTGGAGGCCATCGCTGCTTGGTTGGGGGCCAGCGCTACTAGGTTGAAGGCCGTTGCTACTACGTTGGGGGGGCAGAGCAGCTTTTGAAAGGGGTCTTTTGTGACATGTGCATGTGTGGCGGAGAATGGGCCTGCAGGTTGCGAAGTGTGACTACTGACGTCCGGCATCAACAAAGGTTGTTTGGCAAAGTAGGACAGAGATAGATCAGACATTTCTACCAAAATGCATGAAAGGGCAGATTTCCACAGAACCGGCTTAGAAGAGTACACAGCAATATGACAAAGCGGGGAGGTTCCTAACTACAGAGCGAAGTACGGGATAGTAAGATTCTTTAAAGTCAAGCTTAGCCAAGTGGAAACTTCTTGTCGACAGGTAAAAGATATAAAGTGACATTGCCTTCAAAGAAACATACTGATAGACAGACAAATAAAGTTTTTCACAGGATAGCGCGGTGGCTGCACTTCATTGAAAGACAGAAATATGGACAGTATGGAGGTTTCCAGGGATTTCAGTAGAAAGTGTGCTTGAAAGGGGAGAATTGTCAAGGTGTAGGTAAACGCAGTGGGAGGTTTCCAGAGAAGTATTAGGATTAGAGTTGCTAGCAGCACGCTTCAGAAAGAAGATATGTCAAGACTAGGTCGGGATTTCTGAGCAGTAGAGAAAAGTTGAATGTTGCTTCCATCAGGCTGTGGCATTTCGGGAACGGAAAGGGTAAGGACACGATGCGCATCACGCGCATTACATCAAAACTGCAAGGGTGCCTGTTTGGAAACTCCAAACGTTTGGAATTTCTCCTTGCAGGAACAACTGGATCATGTAGACTTCTGCGTAGTTCCGTGAACGATTTTTTGGCTGTTTTGTCCGTTTGCGTGTTGCAGTGCTTTTGTTGTGAGGGTGCAGCAATGGCTGAAGCAGCGGGAAGCACAGATCTTCAGTTCAAGCTTGCAGCAAAAGAGGGTTTCTGCAAAACAGGGTGACTAGAGGACAAGGTGCTCCCGTATCAGCTAGAATCTGCCAAGCATGGCGCAGCAGTGACGGGTTTGAGAATAGTGGTTGGTGATTCTGTCATCGCCATGTTGCTTGTCCCGCTATTTGCCTGCTGAGTTTGTCGAGATGGATCAGCTGCTGAAGGCAAGCCAAACAAAGCATCATAAGACGCGACATTTTTTGTAGTAGGAACAATAAAGCTATTAGGGGTTCCTGGCCGTATTACTGGGAGCAAGAATGCTACTGGGGCTCCTGGCCGTACTACTGGGAGCAAGCACGCTACGGAGCAATAAAGCTATTATGGACCCACCCTTTGGATGTTTGTGTTGCGAAGCTGAAGCAGGAGCCTCAAGGAATGAAGGAGATCAGGAGGCGCTGTTCGCTGTTTGCTTCTTTTTCGACCTCGGTTGTGAAGCGTTCAGAAATTTGCATCTAGTGGCCGGTTTAAAAACAACATGTGCATGCGTATGCTGTGCATGCGCCATACAGCGCCATGAACATCGAGTAGCTTGATTTGAAATATCGAAGGGCCTTTGAGGGCACGTCAACTCATGTCGAGTCAAGCACCCGGAGGGAGGATAAGGAAGATGCGGATGATAAGGATTATTCTGTCTGGAAGGGGGACAAGAAAGAAAGAAAAGGAGGACAAGACTTAGCGATAATAAGGAGGTCAAGACTCTCTGCACGTCTTTAGGGAAGGTCGACTATACAAGCACGGCATGAAATGAAGTAACACGGCATTCGATGAGGCGACGCGACATGTCCCCATGCGCTCTGTTGTTTGACCAACAGGAAGGCTAAGGTGCCCGCATTGGATTTTTCTAGTCCACCTAGGCCCTAGGCCCTCGAGAGAGAGAGAGAGCGAGAGCTTGATATCGGTGCTCTTTGCATGTCATGCCGAAAACGTTTCAGCTTCTCAGTTTTCCTCAGAGAAACAAGCCTGTGTTTTGGTATTTGTGTAGGCTTTCGGCCTTGGCCAAATCCTCAAGGAGTTGCATTGCAGATGGCGTTGGCGCATATCACACCAATCAGTCAAGTTTTGTATCAGGCGCTTTGTGTTTGAGGTTGAAGTTGTCGAATAAAGAAGAAAGACAGGAAACAAGTTAAGCTTGAAGTGTATCAGGGGTTGGCCACCTCTAAGCATTTTATTGTAAAGCAATTTCCCCAAGTTTCTGACTTTTGGCTCAAGTAATGAGGAAGAGACCGCTTGCACGTTGCTGTGCTTGTTGAGTCCTTTGTGGATTTTTTGTTGCACTTCAAGTAGTTATCAGCATCGGCTTGTTGATTGTTGGTCCCCCAGCGCAAGGTGTGGGCACCTCAGCTGTGAGAAAGAGGCGTACATCCCTTACGCCGCTGAGGAAAAAGGGGTTCTAAGCGATCAGGCGCCGGTGATTCGGTACAGCGTCAAAGGCGAGGACGCCGAGGGCGTCGCCAGAGCTTTCTTCTTGCCTTTGGCCATCTGCATTGATGAGAGCGTTACAGTTCCTCGGGCGGCAGTGTATTCACGGCGACCCCTCCTGGGCACACTTGATTAGGGTGCTATGAGATCGGAGAGAGTACTCGGGACGATCTCGTGGAGCTTGATGAGTACCAGGTTGGTCCTGACTTGAACTTCTTCAGGCTCTTCGCCTGTGAGTGTTTGAGGGCTTGGTGGAAGCGATTGCTTCTACGTACGAAGCAGTTGTTCTTCCAAGTTTGGCGGAAGTGTGTTTGTGGGACCAAGCCTGAAGGGTTTGATGAAGATTTTGGCGCAGGGTTTCATGACAGTAGCTTGCATGATCGAAGCTTGAACCGAGTATCGTTGCTGGGCTGGAAGACTGGTCTCATCCTCCAAATCGCAAAGCCTGACATCAGCAATTGTTGCGTCGTGAAACTTTCAATGTTGATTCCTTGATCGCTGGCTTGCTTCCGAGCTCATTCGTCAGGCGAAGGGCTGTCATTGGTTAAAATTATACAGTGCACTCAGAAGGTGTCAGGACCAGTGCCACGAAGACACTTTTATTGCGTCTTGTGTCAATCGAAAGAGGGGTCGCCTGCTCACTGCTCAGAGTGTTTTTGCTCAAGAATGTGTGCAGGCTGGGTTTGGAATGAAAGGCAATCGTAGCGGGCGTTTGAACCTGCAGTTTAGGCGCAGAGTTTCTAAGCGCTAGGTGATTGCTTGATGGTATGAAGTATTCTGGTTGCTTCAGCTGATAGGTTGTCGAGCCTGGAGCGAAGGACAGAAGTTTCCGTGGTTCATGAACCTGATCGTGAAGTGCACCTGTGGGAATCGGATCCCACTTCCTTTGTCAGATCTTGCTGTAAAGTTTTTGGAAACCTTTGCCAACATGGAACGCACGGAATTAGAGAATCTGAAGCAGCGCCACTTCTATTTTTTGTTGACCGCGATCCTGAGACCAAGAAGGTATCTCGAAGAGTCTCTACTATCGTAAGCAAAGGCTGAAAATGGGCCCCAGGCCCTGGATGCAGAGGTTGTGATGCTGATGCGTCCGCCCACAATGCTGAATGCGTTGCTAGCTTTGAGAAGGCTGTAGGCAAACCCTCAAGGAGGACATGATTCCAATCAAAGAGCGGAGAGGATCTTTCCTTATCTGATGGCTCCAGATTTCGATGATGATGAGGGGTATGCTCCTTCGATTGCAGACCCCTTAGACACGAATGACGAAGGCGGTGAGGAAGTTCCGTCCGTCCTGTCAAATGATGGAGGCTTTTGAGGAAGCCGGAACTAGCATCCTAGCATCCTTTGCTACCTTTCGACAGGAACATGTCCTGAGCCGCACTGAAGGGCAGAAAGTTCTCACTTCCGCCTTGTTTGTTTGAGTTGGCCGAAGCACAACCAAGCATGCGATGTCAACAACCTGAGTAGCAGAGAGTTGTGTGGAACTACGCAGTGCGAATTCCTATACCACACCCCCATTGAAATCATTGGGGGCTTGAAGTACATCGGGGGTTGGCCACCTCTAAGCACATTGTGAAAAAATCACTAAATTTGCGCCGATGGTTAGGTCAAGTAATGAGAGAAGACCGCTCGTGCGCAGCTGTGCTTGGTTGCTTGATTGTTTTTGACACGGTTCGGTTTTGGTGTTGATTGCCACTTCGAGTCTGAAAGAAAAGGACTACAGAATAAGCTCAGTCATGTACCAGTTACGAAAGCCTGCCTTCCTAGAAGGTGCCAGCTGAGTTGTGTTGGGCGAACGAAGTGAGTAAGTAGGGGTCTGCCCGAGAAAGCATTACGTAAACTCGAAATTAGGTGGTGTTTAGGGGTGCACGGAAGCAAGGTTTTGGAGGTTTTGGAGGTTTTGTGACTTTTGAGCGGCTGGTGACGTAAGAAATGCAATTTTCTTCATGTGCATCATCTGCATGGTAAGGTGTAGCTTTACATAGTTTTACCGAGGCCGATGTGTTGTAGCTTCGTGCAGCTGTGAATGCACAACCTCTTCAACACCTATATAAGATCAAAGCACTAATGAGACTTCAAATCCGTGGATTGCTGCACGTTTCTCCAGGTTATCGAGCGGTTGACGGAAAGGGAACTTGAAGTGCTATACCTGGCAACTGAATTGTATGTAGCTACCTGGGCACGTGGATTGCACGTTTGTCACGGTAGCGGTTGACGGAGAGGGAAATTGAATTGCTATACCTGGCAACTGCCTTGTAGCTGCCCTGGGCCCGTTACCGCTGCACTTTTACTATCTCTCTTCACATCATGCTCGTGGACAAAAAAACGCCGGCTTTCGTATTGCCGTTTCTCAGGTTTGTTGTGTTTGATGTTTGAGACTGAAGACGTTGGTGGCTCTTGTTTGTTTAATTGATTCCCCACAGCGTTTTGTGTCGCAGGAGCCGACGCCAAACTGCTGAGGGGATGGGCACCACTGCAGTCACCCGGCACTGGCTGCGCATGACTGTGGTGTTATCGTGACAGTGCGTACGGTGGTTTTCTTTGCAGTTCGAGATGTGTGTTCAGGTACTTTTCCATTCGCATGATTGATGGACGTGTCACAGATGTTGACACATGCTGATTGATGGACAGTGACGTTGGAAACATCAACATTTTGTTCAATATTGGCTGCTCAAATCCATGCGTCGCTTGCGAGGTTTTGTGTTGCGTGACTCCATCAACCTTGATCGTTGGGAACTGTGGCGACTCACGCGCGGTCTTGTGCCGTGGCGGTGTGGGTCTTGGAGGTTGAATGGATTGAATGGGTGAAGTGAGAGAGGTATGCTCGGGTAGCCACAGGACAGTCATAAGGCCTAGAGATGGTCGGCAAATAAAAACAAATTGGCTATGGTGGTTCCAAGTACCTCACGTGTCTATTGAACATCTGTATGAAGTAACCCAGTTCACTTATATAGTCAGTTTTGTCACTGAACTGCATGAATTCTGGACTGAGGTTCTGCAATCGAGTTGTCACAGGAGCCCACACCGAAATCACCAAGTTATGTCACGCACTGTTTGGTTCTGAAGAACACTGTTCCTCATGTCACACCAAGCCAAACATGAGGATCACAAACCAGACTTGCCGGATGAACGTGCTCGTATTGAGCAAGCAGGTCAGGACGTTCAAATTTAGATCCAGGCATTGTATTGGCGTTATGTGTAAGCATATCCTCTTGAAACAAAGGCCAACTTTGCAAAACGCACGCGTTCGTTTTCGCGTTCCGTTTGGTTTCCAGGTGGTTGGGTCCAAAGCGGCTCTGTGCCCAGGGTCGGGCTCTCATCTTCATTTCAAGTACACATCCTTAGGGCAGTTGCTTACAGATGACTGTATATAGTATATATTATACATAATTAAAACCGGCTAGTGCCTATTATTAGCAAAGAGAACCAAAAGAATCGTAATGACGAAAAAGACAATTTGAATAGCTTGACAAAAAGTAAAAAAAAAAAGCAAGTCTGCGAGTCTTTTGGTTTGCCGATGCGCATGGTGTTTAGGTCAACGGGGACCTGAGCCTCTCAAGGGTCCGCCACGGGTCGATCGTCACACCGCCTGTGGAAATGGAAGTCGGAAGTTGAACTGCTGCGTTTTCGAGTTTAACTCGGAAGGTAAAAGGGCTCAAATCTAGAGATCTAGAAGTCTTTGGCGTCAGAAAATCAAGACACCTTTCCGGGAAAGGGTTCGCCGTGGCAAAGCACGTCCGTGAATGATGATGCCCTGGCATGTTGGCACCCAGTAACTGATGCTTGGTGCAACCTGCAACCTGCCATGCAGTGCGAAGGAGAATGATGGTTTCAAAAACACGCCAGCAATGCATTCCTTTTCTTTGCATGAACTTGTTGTTTGACAGATCTAGGACCGAATCGATCCTGAACCAGTGATGCTCTTGCCAGTTCATGTCTGGAATGTCATATGCCGAATCGCAGGCTCTTGGGGACCTGGAGTACAAAGACGCGAAGCTTCCCCCAGAAAATCACATTGCCAGGCTCTCAGGCCCCAACGAATGCGGGAGCTAAGGGAAAAAGAAGATGTTTAAATTCAAAAAACCAATGGAACGGAAGAGATCGAACATGTTCCAAAGTATGCAAGGATAGAAGAGACAGTACAAGATGAGATGACGGAGCCAGGTGAAAGGAAATCAGACAACCCTGAAATGTTCCGAAGACTTTTGAAGACCGAAAACCCGTGGCCTCTGGCAAAGCCCCAGGCACCATAGTGCTTTTGTGTCCGACCACTTTGTATGATCATGTTCTCATGTAGCATTCCTCAGATTGTTGTTAAATTTTGAATTACTAGGGATTTCCGTGCATTTTCCACCGGTTTCCATGGTTTTTGGTGACAATTTTGACGCCTCGTTGCCGCGTCACTGACCCAGGTTAGCGCGGTGCCAGAGATTCGCTCAATCACGAGGCGGAAGTGAAAGCTTGAAACGAAAGTGGAAGGAGAAAGTAAAGGACGCTACTAATAGTTTCTTGTTACTACTAGTAAGGCACTTGTTACTAGAAGCGATGCACTTGTTACTACTAGCTTATTCTTACTACTAGTAACGGCCTCCGATCTAAGAGCAAAAGGAACCTGATAGCGATGGCCTCTAACTTACTGGCGATGGCCTCCATAGAACAGAAGGAATTTACGCAGCTCATTTCTTCTTCCAGGGGTAACACTGACGAATTCCTTTTGTTGGCTTGCGATGGGGTGCGGAAGCTTAGAACCAGCGTTGAAGCCGAACGAAGCTGAATTCCTAAGTCGAGGAGACGGAAGGCAAGTTGCAAACGCACTGTGGTTCGACGATCCGACATGGCGCTCGCCAAGTTGCAGACGTACTTTGCAGCCCAACTGGACCTTGTGCCCTCTTGGCCTTCGCCATGCTCGCGGCAAAGCGAAGGGGGCCGGCGGGCAACGCCCTTTCAAAAGCAGAAAACGCCGACCAACTTGAGTTTTTCACTAGCAGCTCAACATGCAAAAGCACTAAATTGCTTTACTTCGAGTGATCCCCACCATGACATGTCAATCAGTGGTGAAGAGCATGTTGCCATGGTCGGGGGTTTTGTGGTTCTCGATGTTGTTTTTGGGTGGGGTGTCGCCAGGGTCTCCAGTTGGCATCCAAAAGTGCGACCCTGTGACCACCTGCCACGCAAAATGCCACACACACAGGTAACTTAGTGTTGTGTTGCGTTGTGGTTGTGTAGTTGTGTCGCAGTAGCAGTAGCAGTAGTAGTGGTATAATTATACTGGTAGTGGTAGTCGTCGTAGTAGTAGTAGTAGCAGCAATCATCGTAGTAGAAGAGAAACGCCGCGGAACCCCGCAGGCACAGCACCCAGAACCCAGGCACCCAGGGCCTGGCGTTAGTCATAAAATGAAGATAGTTGGTGGGCGGGCCCTGTGAGCTTGTTGGTTGTGTGTTTGTGGTTGTGCTTTGTCGTTGTGTGTTGTGTGGACGCTTGCTGCTGAGGTCCGAGGCTCCCACTGCGCTCTGGCGTCTCGGACTTCAACACCAAGCGCCAGATTGCAGTGGGCAGTCACGGACCTCAACAGCAAGTGCCAGAGCGCAGTGGGCAGGCTCGGACCTCAACAGTCTACTTCGGCACAATGTCCACTTCGGCACAAGCCCAAGATACCAAGTAGCTCTAAAAGCACAGGAAGGCAAGCGGGGAGACACTTCAGTGAATCTCGGCACTGCAGCCTTTCCTCAAGCTTCAGCGCCAAGAACTAGGAGCGATCGGACGCTTCTAGGAGCAAAGGGCATCGCTACGAACGGAGCGATCGGACGCCACATGGGATAAGGCTGTAGCGAAACTGCCGTATGGGACCCTCGTTGGAGACAAGGCAGCAGCGGCACGGGCAAACACCGACCACACAGGCAAACAAGTGGAGAGACAAGGCAGCAACGGGGCCCGACCCCCGATCCTTTGTGGCTTCTATGTTTGGTCCCTTGATACGGCAACGCAATCCGGTTGCAGTCGCTGTGTGCAAGTTGCTCTCTTGCACCAAACATGGATCTTCTGAGGTTTGGGACGTGCTCAGCAGCCAGGCAGCGGTGGACTTTGTGCGTCAGCAGCTGGGTGATCCCAAGAGCCCGGAACAAAGAGAGAAGGTTTTCGTTTGCTACTAGGAGCTCCTGGCCTTACTACTAAGAACAAGAAGCTAGTAGAAACAATAAGTAAATAGAAATAAGAAGCTACTAGGAACAAGTGCATCGCTACTAGTAACAAGTGCCTTACTACTAGGAACAAGAAGCTAGTAGCAATAAGAAGCGACTGAGAGCAGCTGGGTTTTCGTTTGAAACCGGAGATTTCGATCCGACGAGGTTGGGGTTGGCGGATCGCCACGGGAAAGCTGAAGGGCTCGGAGATTCTGAGCCAACTGTCACTTGGAAATGCATCGGTTTATCAAAACATTACATTTGTCCAATTTTTGGATATCCATTTCAGGCTGTTCTCACGATGCGTTGTCACAGATTTGGGCAGTTTGCATTCTTTGTCATCTGATTTTGCGGTAAAGTCCATTTTAGCATTGAAGATGGCGTGCTTTGCTCCATTTCAACCCCAATGCCGCATTGCCACTCATCCGAGTTTGGATCATTGTTTATCACCTGATTTGGCATCGACTGCTGGCTTGGGTGCTTTGCTTAATCTCTCTCATTGAGTTTTGAGACATGTGCTTGTCTTGGATTGTTTTTGAAGGTGGTGACAACATGACTGCGGTGCGCGGCCACAATTGTATGAGTCGTGAGAAATAGAAATACAGGAAAGGAAATCAAAATAGTCAAACGATGCGTTGCAGTCGTTGTGCCAGGTCTTGGTGCTTTTCTTGTCGAATTCACATCAAGGTGCCTGTGAGCCACCCTGTGAGCAGTGCATGGGGAGTTAATAAGAAATGCTGGGGCGTGTTTCATAGTGAGAAAGAGTTTTAAGCTCTAAACGGCTCTAAACAGTGCAATTCATGTTCCAGAAATAGGGCCAAGAGTGCATCACCCTTTCTTCCTGTTCTTTTGTTTTGTTTCTATTAGCGATGGCCTCCAACCTGAGAGCAATGGCCTCGAAATTCATATCTGGACGGCCACGTGGCCATAAATAGAGCCAAGAGTGCATCACCTTTTGCTGTACAGTGATGCTTGTGCCGAGTGTTCTATGTGGGTTTCGTGTGAAGTAGAGCCAAACAGTTTGTTGGCAGCTTGCCCCATAGTGAACAAGGGAACATCTGCAAGTCCGAACCCATGTAATGTTGGTCGAGTAAACTGAAAACTTCAAACTCTATGAAGGCCCTCTTTAAAGCACATACAGTAGGCCATTCAGCAGAAAGTGTTGTTAGAGCACGCTAAAGCCAAGGCTGCTTGCTGGTGTTGCATCACGAGGAAGGATATCATTTATCAAACCATGCCATTCCCTCTAAGCTGGTCAGCGAAAACACTGAATTTGAGCATGTTTCTTCTTAAAAAATATCGTTATTGTTTGTCAATTTCCTCATTTTGGAACGGTCACAGATTGCTACCTCGAAGCTATGGCGCTTGCATAAACGGGTGCATCCACGGCAATGGTGAAGCAAAATGTGATTCCCAGACCTGAAGAACATGTTGGACATTTGTACAGCGCAAGGCATTGAGCGCGGCAAGGAACCAACGAATGGCAATGATGCTGCAGCATAGCTACCTTCCTTTGCCGGTAGAACGCATAAAGTTAATCTGAATGTCACAGAATTGTTTGGAGGCCATCGTTCTTAGGTTGGAGGCCACCGTTAGGTCTCCACCGAGCGCCATCGCTAGTAGGTTGGAGGCCATCGCTCTTAGGGTGGAGGCCATCGCTTCTGTGCGATGCTTTAAAACCATGTTGATGAGGCGTTGGCAAAAGTTGAAGTATCAGCATCAGAGAGGGGAAGAGACTTGAGATTGATTGAATCACAATGTGTTTATTGGAGTCAGTAATACGTTTAATACAGAATGACACTTTAACTGTCAATTGCATGGAGGAGGGGGTTCAACCAAAAGGGCAACTCCATATAATTTACAGAGAAAGGGTGTTGCCGCGGATGAATTGTGAAAAAGGACGGAATAAGTGAGAAACAAAAAACGAGGAACGAACACTGCTAGTTCTTTAGGACGGCTAAAGACTGCACTTGCAGAGCCAAAAGCAGAAAGCACCACATGTTGCACAATGGTTCACATGTTGTCCCATGGTAGGAGACAAGTAAAAGGACATAAATGGAAGGAATTTTTGGTAATTGGGAAGTGAATAGACCTGTGAAAGAAGGGCAGCCTTCAACTGAGGATGGGTCGCAACAAATTAAGCTCCGCAAAACTGTTGTTGACATATGGGACTTTGTAAAGGAATATGTTTTTTTGGGGGAGTTGGTTGTAATTATTCCAGATGAAGTTCAGAAAGAAACTGCAAAGGAGAAGATCTCAAAAAGACCGCCAAGGATGACCTGTTCTTTTCTTTGAAAGGATTTGTTGGAAAAGGCATACAATTTATACTACCTGGAATCATCCAAGCGTGGTTGTCCACTTCCGTGAAAGAAGAGGAAGAGTGTAAGAATGAAATTTGTTTAGCACAAAGGTCATATAAAGCAGGATGCTTCTAAGCTATATAGAGGTTGGCGGCTCAACCATGGATGGCAAATGTTGCTTTTTGCAGGGGAGCCCTCCAACAAGGAGCAGCTACTTCTTCAAGGGACAGAAGAAACAAGTGAAGCCAAATTTCAATGAAGCCAATGTTTTGCAGTGTGCTCTTTGCAATTCCTGGGGGTCGGGGATGACAACACGCAAAAATCTGTAATGTGAGAGCAGAAAAGCCTAAAGACCAAATATGTCAAAATAATCAATGTTCCGGGCAAAAATGTGCTAAGGCTAAGGCCTAAATACAAACAAAGTTTCCAGGTTGAGGCTGGATTGTATCTCGGACACTGTCCGTGTTTGTTGTTTTGGTTTGCAGCTCTACCCATAGGAATTTGGGCCGTAAACGCCCAGCGTTTTCTACTTTTAAAGTTTTGTGTGTTCCTGCCAAAAGTAGCTCAGAACTCAGATCTTGTTTGTGGAGTTGTGAAGAGAACGGAGAAAAACTGCAAGAAAAACAAGACAGTAACAAGTGCCTTACTAGTAGTAACCAGGTTCGCTATTAGAAACAAGTCTTTGCGTTTAATGTTTAGCTGAAAATTGGTACCCCCTCCGCCCTCCCGGACCTCTACTTCGCAATCTCCAACGCCGGGGGAAACGCGTTTCTACTAGCTTCTTGTTACTACTAGTAAGGCACTTGTTACTAGTAGCGATGCACTTGTTCCTAGTAGCTTCTTGTTAAAACTACGGTGAGTTGCTGCGGGTCTTGGGTTGGGTGAAGCGCATCGGGGAAAGTTGCCGCGTGTTTTGTAGCGCCACATTGAAGGCGTTCTTGAGAAGCAACTCCTACAGTTGCCGGCCACCACGGTGAAACCGGAGCCGCAAATCTTTCAAATCTTTACTTTCTGGCACACGTAAAGATGGCACACTAAGATGGCAGTCTGCAGACCACGCGAAATTGATGGCACACTCGCTTCACGTTCAGTGAAAGCACACCGTTTTTTTGGGGGTTTTTGATTCGGCACTCTTGCACCGCACTGCGCCCTCCGTGTGACATTCGAAACGGTCCCACACCGATGGAAACCAGTCCTTTCCGACTGTTCATCCCCTGTGCACCTCTAGACACCCTAGTAGCGTCCTTGCTCCTAGGAGTAAGGCCAGGAGCCCCGTTCGTAGCGTCCTTGTTACTACTAGTAAGGCACTTGTTACTACTAGCGATGCACTTGTTCCTAGTAGCGTCCTTGCTACTTCCAAAACGAAAAATGAGAAAATGTCCGATTTCATGTCGCAGTAGAGGCCGCCGATGAGAAATACCACGCCCATCCGCGTGCTCAAACTTAGCTGCAAGACAGCATAAAAACCTCTCAAGGTTTACCTTTTCTCAACAAATCCAGTGTTATTCGGTACATGTTCTCTATTGATGATGCGGTCTTTCGCCTTGAAGCTAATTGAATGAAATGCGGTCCGGTATATGACAATTGTTGCTGTTGGCTGTTACCCGTCTAAGATTTTGGAGAGGGTGCAGGTTTAGACAAGAGAGAATGTCTTGAAGAGATGGTGGTTAAACATACAAGTGGAAAGAGGTTCCTGTTTGTAGGTAGCCGAGTCTTTTTGTGGATGTGTCTACGTGCTGGGTGAGTGATGAATGTGTGCAATAGTTTGCAGTGAAGTGCATTGTGCTACTACACGGACATGGAGAGTTTTTTTCATGTTGCCCCTCATGTTGTTCGGAAGGGACAAAGCCTCTAACCACAGCCCTTGGATCTAACAACAATGTGCTGAACTTTACACGTCTTCCACAGCAGCCGTCCGCGACATGTTTCGAAAAAGGACATGCACTAGACCAGACCCCAAAAGACAACATTGAAAATCAGAGCGTTGGTGCTTGCTGCTGTCGGCCCTGATCAGCTCCCCAAACTGTAAAGCCTCACAGGTGTTGGCGCTTGCGGAACAGAAGTTTCCGAGCGACAAAGTGTTTGTTTTCTAGAGAGCCCAGAAGTTGCACGGAGAATTAGCCAAAGACGGATCAACTGGGTGGGACCTCTCACGGCAAACACAACAAAAAGAAAAAGGGAAGAAGAGAGTAAAGAGAGGTCCAGTCTAAAGGTTGCAGAATAAGTGAGGAAAGGTCTTTGGGCGCTTTGCTTTTTCCTTGATATATACCCAATCAAGAAAAGATATAAAAGTTGTTTTGTGCTGAGCGTTTCGTGCCAGGCAAAGCCGTGAAGTTCTGGCCGATGCCCTGGCGACGCTTCAAAATTCGATCGCCGAAACGGCGCACTCGTTGAAAAAGAACCTTTTTCTCTCGAAACAAGGACAGGGGCGCCGTCATGCTTCATTGATGTGATGGCCTCCAACCTCCTAGCAATGGCCTCCAACATACTAGCGATGGCCTCCAACCTCCTAGCAATGGCCTCCAACATACTAGCGATGGCCTCCAACCTACTAGCGATGGCCTCCAACATGCTAGCGATGGCCTCCAACCTCCTAGCAATGGCCTCCAACGTACTAGCGATGGCCTCCAACCTCGTAGCAATGGCCTCCAACGTACTAGCGATGGCCTCCAACCTCGTAGCAATGGCCTCCAACATACTAGCGATGGCCTCCAACCTACTAGCGATGGCCTCCAACATACTAGCGATGGCCTCCAACATACTAGCAATGGCCTCCAACCCACTAGCGATGGCCCCCTACCTCCTAGCAATGGCCTCCAACCTCCTAGCAATGGCCTCCAACCTACTAGTGATGGCCTCCAACCTACTGGCGATGTCCTCCAACCTACTAGCGATGGCCTCCAACCTAATAGCGATGGTCTCTTTCTACTGGCGATGGCCTCCAACCTCCCAGCAATGGCCTCCATTCTACTAGCGATGGCCTTCAACATAAGAGCAATGGCCTCCAACCTAAGAGCAATGGCCTCCAACCATCTCCAACCTAGTAGCAGTGGCCCAACCTACTAGCGAGGGCCTCCAACCCACTAGCGATGGCCCCCTACCTCCTAGCAATGGCCTCCAACCTCCTAGCAATGGCCTCCAACCTACTAGTGATGGCCTCCAACCTAGTAGCAATGGCCTCCAACCTACTAGCCATGGCCTCCAACCTACCAGCGAGGGCCTCCAACCTACTAGCGATGGCCTCCTACCTCCGAGCAATGGCCTCCAACGTACTGGTGAGGGCCTCCAACCTAGTAGCGATGGCCTCCAACCTACTAGCGGTGGTATACAAAAATGTTGCTTCCTGCTGGCCATGCTGTATCTCCCCTTGTCACAATCACTGGAGGATGGGCATGTACATCATAAAGAATATTTCCCCGTTCTGATCATCTTATCCTTTGCCTTCTCAGCGCGATATCTCGCTCTCTTGCTCCTACAAGCCCACAAACAGCACCTCTGAAGGTCAACAAACATCAAGCAACCACATACACCGGAAGAATATGGCAAGGTCAACCCACTGCATGCCACCCTGCAATATAGAACGCCTTTTCAACACTGATTCTTTGTCGCCTGTGATTTCCTGGTTTCTTTGATGGCCTGGTCCTTTCGTCGCCTCGTTCTTGTTTGTTTTTTTCTTGTCGTGATGTTCAGGTCAGCACTCACATGAGATCGCAAAATGAGAGTGCCATACATATGATAGCATACACATATGAGAGCGACACATGAGAGCGCGCATGCATGAATCTAAATGTTCACAGAATGTGCCAAGCTTCATGCAGCGCTGCGCCGTTTGACATCAAAATTCACGAAATCTGCAATTCGCTTCACCAAATGCCACCAAATCACTTCGTCCACCGAGTGCCGTGGCCCCCCACGGCCCGCCACAGCCCGCCACGAAAGCACAGAAAGATGGTTTGGATCCTCTTTTTCATCCATGCAAAAGCGATTTGTAGATTCAAACCGTTCGTCAGACCTTGACTTACTAGCAAGGATTTCGTCGCTCCAGAATTTGTTGTTTTATGTTCAGATTCTGTACATGTTATGTTTTTGCTCGATGTTGAATGCGTGGGTTGGTTTTCTTGTGGAGAGACAGCTAGGTTTGCACCCCAAAGACACGTACTGAACTCACAGTGAAAGGCTTTCCAAATAGAAATTCTTCGGGTAAGGTCACCTTTTTCTTTGCTTATTGAATTCATGCCATCCACGACTGGGCCATGTGCCGGATGACATCACGCCAGGTGTGTGGAGCCTCATTTGAGGCTACGGCCAAGGCTTCTGGAAGCGAACTGAAGGCGGAGGAAGAATGAAAACAATGAAAAGGCCTCCTACCAAGAAGCAATGGCCTCCTCCCCAATAGCAATGGCCTCCTACCTAAATGAAAAGGATGTCAAAGTGACTATGATATGAAGTCTGGAAGCCTTCTATGCTTCATCACTGCCATAGTTCTCTCACGCAAGTGCTCACTAGGATAGACGTGTCAAAAGCGATCAAATGGTGAATTATGCGTGTATTCTATTGCGCTTCTGGTGTTTATTTGAAGTCCGTTCTTCCACGAACTCTACAGAGAAGCAGCGGCAGCGGCTTTGGGACGGAGTTGTTTTCGCTTCCAAAGAGGAGCGCTTCAAAGTGCAACACGAGCAACGAGTGCACACGAAAAGGCAAGCCAAATCACTGGAATAGTTCCAAACAACGGAAAGTTCAAACGAGTTCCTGGTGCACATGCCACACCGAACGTCAGTCTCAGATGTGCTTTCGTGAACATGGAAGAGGTTCTTGTCGAGTCCGTGTGCTTCCCTCTTGACAAGTACAAAAACACAAGGGTGCACATTTTTTGTGAGATGGAAGACATGAAAGCAAAAAGTAGAAAGGTCTAGAGAAACAAGAAAAGTATAGATTGATAGAAATGCTTAATGGGATCTTGGCTTTAAAGGGAAAGGAAGCCACAACTGCTTCCTCAGCTGCCACGACTGCTTCCATCCGTTTGGTCCTCAGCTGCTTGGCCCGTTTGGCTCCCGTTGCCTGCGCCGCACCTCTTTCTGCGTGCCGGAGGCGTTTGAGGCGCCGTAGCAAAATTGAACGAAAGAAATGTGTTTTGACGATTTGATACGATGTGCAATGAATGGAAGATGAAAAGCAATTTAAAGCATGGAAGCAATGGCCCCCCAACCTAATCACAACAGTCAAGCTTCTAACTGTGTACATCTTAGGTTGCACCTTTGTCAATCTCTTGGTATTTTGCACTGTTTTGCTTGACTATTGGCTGCTTTAACTAGATTGTCCAATGTGATGGTGTCACCCTTTGTCGAAATTCGTCTCCTTTGGGTTCTTTGAGGTGATGGCTGAGGCGTTGCCAGAGGGTTGGGGTGCCTATCAAGATGATCAAGGCGGGACAAGACGCTTGAGATTGTGGAAGAAGACATGGCCATGAGGGACAGCCACATTGCTTCGGACGCAACTGGTAGGGTCAAAGCAAGACAATGCAAGACATCAAAAATGGCCGCTTGCGACAAGAATATCAACAGCAAACGATACACTTGAACTCTTGAGCTTGTGATTCCGATAATGCATATTTAATAGAGAAACAAACATAGAAATCAAAAATATAACTGATAAGTTAGCTCAGAACGCAGACTCAATATCAAGTCCAGTCGCCTTGGCGTTCAGAGAAGAACAATTGTGTTCATGTGAGCTATATGGCACTCTAGGGTACTAAGTTGCTATAAGGGTCACATATCACGAAAGCCCTCAGGGCGATACCTTGAGCTTGTCTTGCAAGTGTTGGGTCGTCCGGGTCACCGTTGTTATATCAAATCGGAGGGAGGCCCCGTTGGATCATTTAGGTCATCCCTTTCAAATCCCCCACCCTAGAAGCAAGAAGCTACTAGGGGCTCCTGGCCATACTAGGAGCAAGGACGCTACTAGGAACAAGTGCATCGCTTCTAGTAGCAAGTGCCTTACTACTAGTAACAAGAAGCTACCAGGAACAAGTGCATCGCTTCTAGTAACAAGTGCCTTACTAGTAGTAACAAGAAGCTATTAGGGGCTCCTGGCCATGCTACTGTAGGGGCGGACGGATGTGATTTGCGAGGGTGGACCTGCATCGGATCGGCGCTCGGATCACCAGAGCGTTCCTTCGATAGGAAGCCCCGCCCGCTATAGCGATGGCCTCCAACCTAGAAGCGATGGCCTCCGGTCCACCCTACTTGCGATGGCCTCCACCCCGAGAGCAACGGCCTCCACCCTACTAGCGATGGCCTCCATCCTGCTGGCGATGGCCTCCAACCAAGAATGAGAGAAAATTATATATCCAATGGGCAACACAAATCGCACCAGTCCATGAAAATTGCGTCGACCCCCCAAAATCTCTTCAACAAAAAAGGTCGTGATTTTTTTTGGAACGGCTGCGTTGCTTCGCATTGGCATACCTCACCCAGCCTTTCCTCCTTGCATTTGCGAACGTTGAGGCATAGTTGCTTAAGTTTTCCTAAAGGTCACCACATCATTCAGGCTCAGGCTCCTTCCCTGAACCCTTACGCGTCCGAGTCTAAGACTTTTTAAATATCGTACTGATCACTTCCTAAGATATAAGCTACTAGGAACAAGTGCCTTACTAGTAGTAACAAGAAGCCACTAGGGGCTCCTGGCCTTACTAGTAGTAACAAGAAAGCTACTAAGATATACTAATGCCTGACCGATCTTACTCGTCGCCTAGCGGGCTTTTGCACTTCAAGCCAGGCCGCACTTACTATGCGAACCCCATGCGCGCCTCTCAGAGTCGAACCGAGTCGTTACAATTCCGAGGAAAACGCTTGCGACTTGTTTCAGCTAGCAATGGCATCGCTACTAGTAGCTTCTAGCTAGTAGTAGCTTCTTGTTCCGAGTAGTAAGGCCAGGAGCCCCTGGTAGCATCCTTGCTCCTAGTAGTATGGCCAGGAGCCGCTAGTAGCTTCTAGCGAACGTAGCTGGATGCCGTTACTAGTAGCGATGCCTTTGTTCCACTCACCGCTACCATCGACCATCCAGCGCGGTCCGCCCGTCGTCCCGTCGTCCCGTCGTCCCGTTCCTTCCCGAGGACAGGCGAGACGAGTTGGGAACCCCCAGCGCCAGCTGTGGTGCTTCCAGATGGTTGGACAGCCCATCAGGTGGGAAAAGTGTCAATAGCTCAAAGAGGTGGAAGCTATTGTTACTACAAGTAAGGCACTTGTTCCTAGTAGCTTCTTGTTACTACTAGCTTCCATGCAGTCAGGCCGATTTCACAGGCATGTTTGCTTGTGGAGGACCCTGAGACCGGGAAGACCTTTTATGCTAATGTGACCACGGGCGAGTCGAGCTAGGAGCCTGGAAAGAGTGTGCAGACCAGATGGGATCTTTGATGTCACGTCCTTGTGTCTTGTTCCGAGTAGTTTCTTGCTCCTAGTAGTAAGGCCAGGAGCCCCTAGTAGCGTTCTTGTTCCTAGTATCGATGCCCTTTGCTCCTAGTAGCTTCTTGCTACTAGTAGCGATGCCCTTGTTACTAGGATGATGTCAGATGTCAATTTGCTGTTCTTGTGTTTGCAATGCTGCAAATTCACGGCGTATGTTTCTTTACGACATGTTGACGTGTTGATCAACTCAGGCTGCTCAGTTTCAAGTCCTTACAATAAATAGTGGCGAAAAAGCAGTACGAAAAATTAAGACTGTGCCATCAGGAGGCAGATCAGTTTATAATTTGCATTGTGGAGTTGGTGGGGCCGTTGATGTGCACTTCGGTTGTGCAAATCTTGCTACTAGTAGCGATGCCAGGAGCCCCTAGTAGCTTCTTGTTCCTAGTAGCGATGCCCTTTGCTCCTAGTAGCTTTCTGTTGTGCCAATCAAGCGAAACCGTTCAAAGTAGAGTCCGTGACCACGTCGAGACAGAGGGAAAGAGAGAGGTGGCCCGAGATCACAAAACACTCCGAGATCTCCGATCCGATCCAACCGGGATCCCGAATATCCCGAGGGTCATCGATGGATTTGGAAATCGATCAATCACATTGCTTATGAAGCATCATAAAAAAGCGCGGTGGTAAGTGGCAACTGCGTGCTGGGATGACAAAATCAGAAGCCGGATTCAACTGCCAGTCAACTGGCTCATCACTATGTCCCACAATGGTGTGAGAAATGCGGGTACCACAACGGCCACAAATGGCGAATCACAACCGGATAACATCGTTCAGCGTTTGTTCGGGAATGGAGCCAAGCGTCTATTCACAGCTTAGCCTTTTTTAAAATGTCTTCACATTTTAAAAAATATACAATAACATCATTGTTTAATATAGATAAGTATATTGGGACGCTACTAGGGGCTCCTGGCCATACTAGGAGCAAGGACGCTACTACTTGTTTAAACGACTTTAAACTACTCTCCACACCTTCTCCCGAGGCTGGGAGCCGCCGTCGGCTCCGGCTGTGCCCGCACCTGCGCCGCCCCCGTCGATGGAGAAACCCGGCCGTTGGTCAGTGGACTTCACGTCATGACGCCCAGAGCGGAGCGCGAGTAACAAGTGCCACGCTAGTAGTAACAAGTGCCTTACTACTAGTAACAAAAAAGCCAATTAGAATTAAAAAAGAATCTAGATAGAATGTTATTTAAGAGTTCTTATTGTTTCTAATAGCTTCTTGTTACTACTAGTAAGGCACTTGTTACTAGAAGCGATGCACTTGTTACTAGAAGCGATGCACTTGTTCCTAGTAGCTTCTTGTTTCTAATAGCTTCTTGTTACTACTAGTAAGGCACTTGTTACTAGAAGCGATGCACTTGTTCCTAGTAGCTTATTGTTTCTAATAGCTTCTTGTTACTACTAGTAAGGCACTTGTTACTAGAAGCGATGCACTTGTTCCTAGTAGCTTCTTGTTTCTAATGGCTTCTTGTTACTACTAGTATGGCACTTGTTACTAGAAGCAATGCACTTGTTCCTAGTAGCTTATTGTTTCTAATGGCTTCTTGTTACTACTAGTATGGCACTTGTTACTAGAAGCGATGCACTTGTTCCTAGTAGCTTCTTGTTTCTATTTACATATTGTTTCTACTAGCTTCTTGTTCCTAGTAGTAAGGCACTTGTTACTAGTAGCGATGCACTTGTTCCTAGTAGCTTCTTATTTAAACGTTCTTATTGTTTCTAATAGCTTCTTGTTCCTAATAGTAAGGCACTTGTTACTAGAAGCGATGCACGTGTTCCTAGTAGCAATTTTGTTATAATTCTTAGTTCTTATATTGCTGACAATTATTTGTTTTAATTGATGGTGTTTCTTTTTTACGGCCGAGGTAGCTA